CACGTGGGATCTTCCTGGACCGGGGCACGAACCCGCGTCCCCTGCATCGGCAGGTGGATTCTCAACCACTGCGCCACCAGGGAAGCCCTATATTATTTTTTGATGCATTTGTTCTCAGTCATTTCAAATGAATACCATTTGCTTTTCACCATTGATAACAGTTTCATTTAGTTTATACAGAGTGGAAGTTGTATGTAGAGTATTATACAAGCCTGTATTCTGTACCTAAATGATTTTCTCCAAGCTAACTTGTCTCCTTGAGCTTCGCCTGATTATCGTATGTAGGTGTCGTGGGCAAGTCAGTACATGTTTTAGGTTATGCATAGGCTGTGTTGTTGTAGCTTTACTGTGTTTCTTTTCTATAAAGTGAGTTTCTTATAGCCAACATACAGTGGGTCTTGTTTTTTAATCCATTCTCTGCATTTTACTTGTTACATTTAGACTATTGATGTTTAAAGTGATTAGTGATATTATTGGGTTAAAACCTACCATGTTTGTTACTGTTTTCTATCTGTTGCCTGTATCATCTTTTTTTCTTTCTTTTTTTTGTCTTCCACTCTTTTTCTGCCTTTTATGGTTTTAACTGAGTATGTTATATGATTCCAGCTTTTCTCCTTTTTTCACTGTTTGAAGTCGTTGCCCTGAAGTTTACATATCCATTTACAAGTAGTGTGAGTCTCCTTCCCAGTAGTACTTCCTGCTTGTTGGTTAGTGCAGGCACCTAGGTCTCTTTCTAGTCCTTCCTAACATTGCTGTCATTATGTCACTTATCCTTAAGCTATAATCACCTAATACATCATTGCTACTACTATTTTGAACAAATATGAAACAGAAGAAATAGAAAGTTTTTTAATATCTTCATTTATTTCTTCTAATCCTCTTCCTTTATTTACGTGGCTCCAGGTTTCTGACTTACATTATTTTTCTTCTTCCTGAAGAACTTCTTTTAACATTTCTTATAAGCCTGGTCTACTAGTGAGAAATTTCCTCAATTTTTGTTCGTCCAAGAAAGCTTTTATTTCTCCACTTTTGAAGGATAATTTTGTTGGGCACAGAATTCTAGGTTTGTGGGTTTTTATTTCAGAACTGTAAGCATTTCACTCCATACTCCTCTTGCGTGGTTTCTGGAGAGAAGTCTGATGTAATTCTTACCGTTGCTTTTTAGGTGAGGTGACGTTTTTCCCCTTTGGCTTCTTTGAAGATTTTCTCTTTGTCTTTGACTTTTTGCAGCTTAAATATGATCTGCCTAAGTGTTGTGTTTTGTTTTTTCCTACTTGGTGTTCTGACCTTCCTGGATTTGTGGTTTTGTGTTTGTCTTCAGTGTGGAAGGTTCTCAGTCATTATTACTTCAAATATTCCTTCAATTCCTTTCTCTCTTTCTTCTTCTGATTTTCCCATCATGTGTGCATTGCACCTTTTGTGATTGTCCTACAGTTCTTTGGGTATCCTCTTCTGTTTCTGTTTTTCTTTTTTGTCTTTGCATACCAGTTTTGAAGTTTCTGTTGACGCCTCTTCGAGCTCACTGATCTTTCCTCGGCCGTACCCAGTCTACTGATGAGTTGTCGAGGGCGTTCTTTGTCTCTTTGGCAGGGCTCTGATTTCTCGCGCTTCCTTTTGATTCGTTTGTAGCGTTCCCATCTCTGCTTACCTTACCCATGTGTTCTTGCATGTTTTCTACTTGTTTCTTCAGAGTGCTTGGGATGCTAATCACAGTTGTTTTAAATTCTCAACCTGCTAATTCTAACATCTCTGACGTATCTGAACCTGGTTCTGGTGCTTGTTCTTTCTCTTCAAACTGTGTTTTTTTGTCTTTTAGCATGACTTGAAATTTTTTGTTGAAGGTTGGACATGGTATACTGGGTGAAAGGAACTGAGATAATGAGGGCTTGGGTGTGAGGTTAGATGTTTTTCTGGCCAGGAGCCGGGCTCTGCTTGCTTTTCCATTAACCCTGGGGCTGGAGGTAGCTCTCCTTTGCTGTGCTCTCTTTGTCTCCCCTGTTTGGGTTTCTCGGGAGGCTTCTGCTTAACTAAGGTCTGGGACCTGCAGGCCTGGGTCGTGTCCCCTGTTGTTTTACGGGAGCCCTGCTGATGTGGTGCTGATGTGTGGACGGAGGAGATGTGACCTGCAGGCCTCTGGTTACGTCTCAGTCTGTTAGGGGCCCTGCGTCTCAGCTGCGACTTTCACAAGTGCTTTCCAGTCCCCTCCGCTTTGATGAGATGGGAAGGCTGGGGGGCGTGAGGTGGATGTTCTCTCTGGTGAGAGAGTCTCTCTGGAGGGCAGGCCTTATTGAGAAGAGCAGAACGTGCTGCTGTAGTTCATAATGGCTACTTTTTCCTTCCTCTGCTGGAAGATGGGGGGATTGTTCTCCATCTTCACTGTGAGAACCTGGTGGGGCTCCTGGAGGGAAAACTCATAAAAGTGTAGGGATTCCCCCTGGAATTTTTAGCTCTCAGACAATTTGTCGATCGTAGTTTGTTTTCCTACCTCGGTACTCGTCTCCCCTGGAGCCTCCTGTGAATTGTGGCTCTCTGGATCTGCCTGCCTGCCTCTCCAGTTTTGGGGCCCAGCGATTTGCTCTGTGACCTCACTTCTCTGCTGGGTCCAAGAAGAGCTGCTGGTTTCAGTTTGTTCAGCTTTTTGCTTGTCGTTGGGACAGTGCTGCCCTCCAGGGTCCTTATACGCTGGGCCGGGGACCAGACGTGGCAGTTACTTCCCATTTTACAGCACATTCCCCTTCCCCATTTCTGTGACATCCCTTTCTTCCAATTCTCTGCCATCTCTAACTGTTTTTTAAATTTAATTTTATTTATTTACTTTTTATACAGCAGGTTCTCATTAGTTACCTGTTTTATATATATTTGTGTATAGATGTCAATCCCAATCTCCCAGTTCATCCCACACTCCCCCTACCCCCTTGGTGTCCATATGTTTGTCCTCTACGTCTGCGTCTATTTCTACCCTGCAAACCAGTTCATCTGTACCATCTTCCTAGATTCCACATATATGTGTTAGTATACGATACTTGTTTTTCTCTTTCCGACTTCCTTCACTCTGTATGACAGTCTGCCGTCTCTAACTCTTCTTCCTTGTCTTCCTTTCCACCCCTTCGCCTGGAAGTCCAGGGACCTGCCCTTGACCCTCCTGTCAGCCCCTCCCCTTCTCCTTTTCCAGCTCACACTCTCCTTGGCCATAACAGCCTCCTATAGCCTCCGTGCTGACTTCTCCCAGGACCTCAGAGTCAGTGTCTTCAAAACTGAATCTCTCTTCTTCTCCTACAAACACACCCACCCTCCCCTCTTCAATTTGTGTGTGTGTGCGCGCATGTGCGTGCGCGTGTGTTCGTTGCTCTGATTAAATGGCTCCTACCCACGCGGTTGCTCAAGCCAGAGACCTGCATGTTAGTCTAGGCTTTTCTTTCTCCTTCAGCCTCCAAATCCTCACAGTCCTGAAACTTTTTCATCTAAAAGAAAAAGAAACTTAGATCTGGCTCCTGGTCTTAGAGCCCCTGCTGTTGCCCCTGTTCAGACCCTCGTTGGGTGACTCCCGCCCTCTCTGTGCTGCGTCCACTCTCCTCACCGTCAGCCTGGCAGGTTCCAGGTACCAGGTCACTCCTCTGGTGTCTGCAGAAGTGATGTCCCGCGTCTCCCAGGCCACAAGCAACCCCATAAGATACTAGGTTATCCTCTTTCGGATAATCCACTAGCCCTCTTTGGATTTACTTTTCTTAATCTCAACTTATAAAAATGTCTTGTTTTGAAATGTAATAGATCAGTAGCCCATGCCTATAATTTATAAACATACCCATATTAAGGTTGAAATAACTCCAGTTATTTTATTGACAGGGATGCACGATCAGAATGTTGGGAGACCCCATGCCTGAGGGCACAGTCCCCCCTCCTCAGGCTCGCGGGCCAGGCTCTCGGTTCCCTGGACCCCCCGCACGGTGTCAGCGTCTCTCCCCCGCTTTCCCATCTACCTGCGTCCTGAGCTCTCGTTTAACCCCCTGGTTACTGCAGTGGCCCTGCTGCCTCGTGCCTTCGTACTTTGGTTGCACCATGGCCTCTCCTGGGCTCCCCTCCCATCTCCACTGCACAAGGAGGCCCTGGCCCTCGCCGCCCCACTGTGCATGCCCTGCCCTCTCTCCCTCAACGCCGGCCCCTGAGCCTACTGGGCGCCCGCTGCTCTGCCCCCTTCCATCCCCGGCGTCCAGCGGGCCAGTCGACAGCTGCGTGAGTGAACGAATCAGTGAGCGAGTCCGCTGGACCACTCGAGTCTCTTACTCCACTGAGTCTGCTTTTATGAAAAAGTGATCAGAAATTAAGGTGTAAATTGGTGGATTCTGTGCCAAAATCTCACTTGTGGTGCAGTTCACACTCACTAAATCCGGTCCCCCAGTTAGTAAGAAGCGTAAGTTTGTACATATTTGGTTAATCCCAGGAAGTAGAAATAGACTCAGTACCTACTATCATTCTAGATCTCTTCTTTCTGGCTATGGTTATAAGGTTTGGCCTGGCGTAATGATTCAGAAACATTCACCTCACACATTCTGGGTGTATTTTGGTTTATGTTGGAATAAAAAACATAAAAAAGTTGTTTTGGGGTGAAGAATGATTAATATCATGAGAATATTATCCTTCATTTAAGGTATATAACAAAAAGATAAATTAAGGTCTGATTGTTTATACGACAGGGCTTCGGAGCTTTTTCCATTAACAAATATTTTACCGGACGTGACATGTGACATTCTTTTTAGAATATAACGCATTTCGTAGAGTGAGTTTTACCACTATAGTTCCAACTGGTATTACTCTTACTACAGTTATAATCAGACTGCTGTTCTTCTGAAGAAGACTGAGTCTGAAAGTCCCTCAGAAGCTCGAAACCTACCATAGGTTTTCAGTCCTTTCTTGGCTCATAAATTGTCAATGAAAAGTTAGCTGAATTTACCTCAAGAAACTGAAGCGAGCGGAGCTGTGATTGAGCTGCTTCTCCTCCGTAGGTACGACAGCGAGCCCAGCGCATACTGCCCGTTCTTCTCCCTGGGAGCGTGCATGGAAGGCCTGAATACCTTGTTTAACAGGCTGTTAGGGATCTCGCTGTGTGTGGAGCAGCCTGCAGAGGGAGAGGTGTGGAGTGAAGATGTTCGGAAACTGGTAAGCGGCCGGTTGGAGCGAAGAAGCTGCGTTCCTGGACTCCCGGCTTTGGTGCTGAATTAACAGCGGTTTCACCTCAAGTTAGCCTTGCGCCGATGGCGCTTGTCTTTGCCCGATGAAAGATCCAAACCGCCACTGGTGATGCAGGATGCTACGAAAGAAACACTTGCCTCTAAACGTCAGTTGTTGCCTGAAATTAATGTAAACTTTTAACGGCAGAGTTATTTCTCTGGAAAAAAAATTTGTTTTTAAGGAAGTTGATAGAAGGTTGAGTCTTTTATGTCGACAAACCCCGGTTAAACGAACGTTTGTCATTGCCCTTCACGTGCCCGCTGTGCCAGGTGTCGCATCTGTTAATTCCAGCTCCCTCAGGCACCCCCCACCCCTTCCTGCCCGCCCGTGGGCTCACGTTCGCGCCAGGTGCTCGCCTGCGGCCTGTGCTCTTGGTGAGACCCCTTGGACAGTCACTCCAAGCCTGGGATCCACCCTTCTGCCAGGGCCCGCTTTGTGTGAGCTGCGACTGTCGTCGTTTTCTCCTGATAAGATTTTGGGGCTTTATGGGCCCTAAGGTGGTGGTGTTCTCTTGCTTTACTCTTTGCTCACGTGCTTAGCGCACGGTTCACGAGAAACGTGAACTGTCTTGTGGCCTTCTGGCTGCACGTCATGGTCGTAGAGCAGGTGGTGGTGGAGTCGGGAGATCAGCGGGGAGCGTGGTTGTCACTGGGCATCCTTCTGTGCGCTTCACAAAATGGCAGCGGTGGGTAATGTGCAGACACACCGGGAAAAGAGTGAAAGGGCACAATGTGGGCGATGAAGAGCTTCCCCAGCTCAGGAGGGAGCCCCTTCCGGCTTTGCTCATGGCCGTTCCCCAGGTGCCTTGAGCAGTCCCTGACACCAGGTAGATGCTTGGTAGACGCTTGCTGGAGTAATGAACATACGCTTGCAGGAAGCCCTAAAGCATAATGTTGCCGTTCTTTATGGCAGAGGCCCCAGGTTGTGCAAAGATGGAGACCATCCCTCCTGTGAGCTGGGCCTCTTGGAAGCCTGATGTGGGAGAAGGATGTCAGTGGTGTATTACTTACTGCTCTTCAGCCGAAGGCAGACACTGCGTATTGTTCCTGTACCCCAGGGTTATGGTTGGCGTGCTCGCGCATCCTTACGTCCTAAGATTGGAGGAGCTATAATTTTGTCGCTAAAATGATCCAGCCAGCACCGCTTCCCACCGCTTGCGGGTGGTGTGGGCCCAGTGGCAGAGCCGCGTCGCTGGGGACTGCCAGTCAGGATGCAGGGCTTGTGGAGGAGGGTGTCCTCTTCCGACAGAATTCCTAAATCATAGTTGTCCTGGAGATGCAGGAGAAGAGGTTGAGGGCAAAGTGGAAGCCACCTCGAGGTCACATGGGACGTAGGAAGTAATGAAACGTCTATATTTGTGGCTCTGGGTGTTTTGTGAACAGGTTCTCGTGCTAGGAATGTGTTTCTTCTTTTAGAGTTTCTAAAGGCCGCATTCCCCACTAAATTCATTTTTTTTTCCCCCAGGCCGTGGTTCATGAATCTGAAGGACTGCTGGGGTACATTTACTGTGATTTTTTTCAGCGACCAGACAAACCGCACCAGGTGATGCTTGGTTTACAGAACGGTCTCTCTAAAGTAATCAGCAGTTCATTTGTATTGATGTGAACTGATGTGGGCCTCTCACTGTTGTGGCTGTGCAGGCTCACAGGCCCAGCCGCTCCGCGGCATGTGGGATCTTCCCGGACCGGGGCACGAACCCGCGTCCCCTGCATCAGCAGGCGGACTCTCAACCACTGCGCCACCAGGGAAGCCCTTGATGTGAACTTTATACCTCACTTTTGTAGTTCCTAATATTTAAAAGGCATCCCTGGGGACTTCCCTGGCAGTCCAGTGGTTAAGACTCCGCCTTCCAGTGCAGGGGGTGCGGGTTCGATTCCTGGTCAGGGAGCTAAGATCCCACATGTCTCGTGGCCAAAAAACCAAAACATAAAACAGAAGCAATTTGTAACAAATTCAACAAAGACTTTAAACATGGTCCACATCAAAAAAATCTTTAAAAACAAAAAAGGCATTACTGATGGTGGCTAAATATATAAATTTGAAATTTGGGTAGAATTTAAAGCTAATAAAACTTATGAAGGTAATTACATAGATCTGTATCTGTCACTTTTATCTGGGTCATGGTAACGGTAGTAATAATGATAGCTGACATTTTGCCAGCCCTTCTGTGGGCCCGCCAGTGCTCTGGGTCCTTTTTCATGTCACATCTTTGAAAGTTCACATCAGCCTTTTGAACTGGACACTGACATTATGAGGAAGCTGATGTCAGAGAGGTAAGGTTACTACTTGCCCAGAGTCACACAGTTAGAAGCACTAGGATTTGAACCCAAACTTCCTGACTAGAGCCCCAGCTCTCAGCCACTTTCCATACTTGACATGGACCTAGTTTCAAATGGCACAAGATGTGTCCCTGTGGAGACCCTGTCAACCACCAGTTCACTCCTTATGCAGAAAAGTGAGGTTCAGTTCCTCGAGCCGCAAACCAGGTTTCCTGGTCGATCAGCTTCAAGCAATTTTGGGCAGTGTGATTGGAATTGTCAAGAATTCGGGTTATTAAGTTCCAACAGAAATCATGGTACCTTATATTTAAATAGTGGTTTCACAGTTTCCAGAGCAGTTTTAGCAGACATGAGCTTATGAATCTGGTCAGCTGCTCTGGCGTTTGACAGGGTGGAGGTGAGTCTGGTGGAGGTGACCCAGTTTCCAAGGCGATTGGCTGGTAGATCTGGACGGTGGGCCCAGAGTCTGGGTCGTTGACCTCTGTGTCCTCTGTGTCTTCTCTCTGCTTGAAAGGCTGGAGAAGCCGGGTTAGTGGTCTGAGCCCCAGCCCGGGGGGTTCAGGTTTGAGATGCCGCAGCCCTAGCTGTGCCCTTGGACACGTGACTTAGCATTTCCAAGACTCAGCTTGTTTTCTCATCTGAAAAATGAAATGCTTGCCTCATAGACTCACTGTGAAGAGTAAGTGATGAAGTGTATGCGAACTGGGAAAGATACTCGGGTTCCTTGCTTTGTGACAGTTGAGAGCTCGTCACCTCCAAGTGATGGAGACGGTGGTGTGGAAAGTGTCTCCTGGTTCATCGCCTGACACAGAAGGGGCTCCATTAACATCAGTGCCCCCCGTGGTCCACAGCTGTCCCTTCCTACCTGCCGTGAGCACCTTGAGGGCGCAGGGCTAAGCTCAGTGGTGACTCTGTCTCCGGTATCTGGTATAGCATCACTCAACACATACTTTTGGAGTGGAGGAATGAGTTCATCAACGCAAGCTCAATGTATTATTGGTGTTTTAAAAAATCAATATGTTAGCAAAATAAAAAGTATTGGGATGAAAGTGTCTGTAACTAAATAAATAGAAGAATGGAATTAAGGTAAAATTTGTACTCACACATTTTGATACAACTTTATATTACCCTTCACTTGTGTTTTCTTAAAGGACTGCCATTTCACCATCCGTGGGGGCCGATTAAAGGAAGACGGGGGCTATCAGCTCCCAGTTGTCGTTCTGATGCTGAACCTTCCCCATTCCTCAAAGACTTTGCCAACATTATTAACTCCTGGGATGATGGAAAATCTCTTCCATGAAATGGGGCACGCCATGCATTCAATGCTGGGACGGACTCGTTATCAGCATGTCACTGGTGAGCCAAGAAGAGGGGACTTTAAACGTGTACATTTCATTTTAAACTGGAAAAAGCTTTTCATTTAGAAAATCTGTGGTCATTTATCGCAGATGGCATCATCTTGTCCTTCCAACTGCGATGCTACCCGATCTTCGTTACATTTTTTTCCATCCTTGACAACAGTTCTCACCAAGGAATATCTCAGTTGCCTGTCTTTTCAGTTTGTACCATTTTACGTTTTGTCCTATATCATGTGGAATTTCAGTCTGTGGCCGTGTGTATGAATAAGCGTATCTCCTTAGCCAGGAGCACAGACTTAGCAAGTGAATAAGTGAATGAACCGTTGCCTCTTTTTATCCAAAACCAGTTAGAAAACCTTGAGGCATGTTGTAAAGGTATGACCAGGTGCTTTGTGTTTCTCCTCTGCTCTCCCCTGCGTAAAGCTGTGGTCCCCCTGCTGACGGGTTGCCGTGTCGGGTGACGCCCCAGGCTTCCCTCCTGCTTATCCTCTCTGAGTCTTAAGCTTGCGATCAGACAGGGCCAGTCAGCCTTCGACCACCTGGGCAAGTGTTGGTCTTCAGTATTTAGTAACTAACTTTGCACACAGTATTTTGGGGGAGGAGGGAGGTATTTGAAAAGACTGCGGTAGATGGGCCGGACAGAACCATAAAGTGTCACCAAGACTTGCTTACAGGATTTGTTCTTTAAATAATTTTGAGTTTGAAATGTTGCTTTTCTGTATTGAGGATTGACCTTGTTACCAGAAGCAATCAATAGGTAAAGTACTTTTAAAACAAATGAAGGATACGGGCACTTGGTGATGGAATTCATGAATTAAATTCAATTGCTGTGTTAATTAAGTAAGAATGTTGTAATTTGTGTTTTAGGTATAGCCCAGCACAGCTGAAGACAGTTTTGTTTGTAGAGGGTGTGAGCCGTTGCTTTACAAGGTGTTCTATCCAGCTGTGCAAATATTTTGTTTTACTTCTGATACGTGGGAAAATAAGAGGTTACTACAAACTTTTCTGTAAATATGTGCAATAATTTTATAGAAGTATTGACTTAATGAATTAAAGATTATCATAGTTCATCAGAAGTACAAATAAAAAATTTTAAAAGAGTGTTTGTAGTAGGATGAACGTGTTGATGTGATTCAGGCCAGCTTCCTTCTTTCTCCCCCATTTTAGGGACCAGGTGCCCCACTGACTTTGCCGAGGTCCCTTCTATTCTGATGGAGTACTTTGCAAATGATTACCGAGTGGTTCACCAGTTTGCCCGACATTATCAGACGGGGCAGGTAGGGAGCGTTGACTTTCTGTACCGTCCTCTGGGGCACGGGGGTGGCTTTTGTGACCTGCGGGGTAGCGGGAACTCTTACTGCTTTTTCAGAACCTTCTCCGAACCAGAATCCTTCTGCCGTTTCCTGATTCCCTTTCTTCAGCTGTAGCTACAGTCATGTGTGGGCAACAAGTAGCTGCCCTTTATTATATGCCCAGTAACGTCCCGTCTAGTCCTCAGAGCTGCCCCCTGAGGAAGGCGCTGCGTCCTGTTTCCAGAGGGAGAAACAAGCCTCAAAGCCTGTCTTACCTCAGAGCCTTTGCTCTTTCCTCTACCCTTTATGCTTCTGAATATTCTCTCAGTCTAAATGTGTGTGTTGTTTGGTAAACTGTGATGCCATATTTCCCCGATGTGTTTAGGTAGCATCTACGTGATGCCAAGTCTGAAAATTCCTTAATTTTGAGGTTTAGGTTTAAATAGTGCCTTGTAACGTTAAAGGTTTTTAAGTTCTGTGAAGTAGGATTAAGTGAGTGATACTTCACGGTAAGTTAGCGCTAATCTAATTGTCGACATTGTGTGTTTACTGTCTGCGTGTCCCGTGGAAAATGTATTCTTCTCTCAGAATTTCGGTGATATACTGTTACATTAGGTAGTGTTTTTCCGCCTTAAACTGTACCTCCCTGAGTGCCTGTGTACAATTCTATTCATCTTTGAATCTTCAACATTTAGAACTGTGCCTAACACACAAAAAGCACTAAAAGAAATTAAAGGAAGGACTGAATGGAACCAGAGAAAGCAGGGCCCAAGCCCACCTGTATTTGTGACTCTCTTTCCGGTTGTATCTCTGGATGCGTGATGTGAATCGGCGATTTCTATTGTTTGGACTTGACTTTAACCACTACTGTCAACTGTAGAATAATGGATGAGTTCCTGGAGAACTAATCTGAGTTAGCCTCCATCATAATCTGTTTCTGTGGTTAAGAGGACAGAATTGAAATATCTGTGATCCAGTCAGCTACGTGCCCATCAACGTGCGGAGCTGCTCTGGGCATTGTCACCTTAGCCAACGCCGTAGAAGCACGTAGCCCATCAGGCAGTGGCCTAGTCCTCCCGGCTCCACGCTTCGGGGTCTGGGAAGGGGGAGGATGGCCTGACGCGCTGCTGCTCCCGTAACCGCCCCCTGCCCGTCGTCGGGGGCACGGACGTGCTCGGGCACAGGGCGCAGGCTTGCGGGCAGCCGGCCCTCTGCTGGGGCCTCGGGACGGGCTTCACCAGGAGCTCCTGAAGGAACCAGGTCGTGAAAAAGTATGTCGGGTGGCAACTTGCCGGTGTGCTCGCAGCAGCCCTCATCCGTCTCGTTGCAGGATGTTTACTGAGGACACACTGAGGCCATAGGTGAGTCCTTCCATCGGGAAATGGGCTCCGTTCTCAGCACCTGAGAAGCAGCCGGGAGTGAGTGTGACAGCATCCCTGCACTCGTGGCCTGGTGTCTCGGGGTGCAGAGCAGGGCTGAGGGCAAGGCGACTCCAGCCGAGGGACAGTCCGCAGGGCTCAGAGATCCCGAGACAGGCAGGACAGCGCGTGTGGCAGGGTCAGTGAGGGGGGGGTAGAGGGACGGACAGGGACGAACGCGGGAATGTCCTCGTGTTCAGAACCTGCACCCCATCTGTCTCTGCACCCGCCTTGCCCACACCACGGGAGTCCCGGCCCCCCGCTCGCCCGCCTGGTGACGAGGGGGATTCTCCTGTGTCCCGGGCTACCCCTTGGGGCCGAGTCCCTCCTGTGACTCTGCCCCAGCCCCCCTTCTCATTAACCTCCAGCCGGCAGCCTCCCTGGAGTCCACCTTTGGACCCGAGGGCTCGTCTGTCCTTTGCTGCGGTCAGCGGTGACGAGGGCCAGAGCCAAGGTGCTGGCAGCGGGGCCGGGAGGGGAGCAGCCGTCGGAGGCTTGGCGGGAAGGGCCTGCGGCTGGTCAGATGGCGGGGAGGGCCACATCTGAGGAAGGAGGACGGCTCTCGCCTTGGATGTCCGCTGCACAGCGTTGCTGCCCACGCGGCCACTCGTGGCACCGGCCTGAAACCCAGAGTCAAGTGGACACGTGGGCGTGTGGGGCCGAGTGGTGGGGAGGTTAGAAGCGGCCCGTGAGAGGAACTGCCTGGGGGCTCCGGTTCCTGAGGACGCGCGGAGCGGGGCACCTGCGAACGGTGGCGAGACCCTGTTGGCGTCGGACCTAAGTGCTGGGCTGAAATGCACCACGATACTGAGGTCAGTTTAAAAATATTGTTGTCTGTTTCCAGAGCAATGAGAAAAGCCAGGAAGGGCTAGAACCACTGCTTGGAGGGTGGTGTAATGTCCTCAAAAAAAGACAGTTCCTGTTTTACTACTGAATTCTTCAGTCAGAAGAACCATTTTTGAACAAGATCATTTCAAGAAAAGAATATTAAGTCCAAAACCGCACTGCAGACGAGATGAGATCGGCAGCGAGCGGCAAGCTGCTGTGGATTAGCTCCATTTCGGACTCGGAGGCACGTGCAGTGGGCCGAAGGGGTTGCAGACACAGCCTCCAAAGCAGGAGCCAGTGCTGGGACCCGTGGGGTCTGGAGAGGGCGCCAGAGGCACGGGGCACCTCGAGCCTCGCAGAGGACTGACTCGCCTCTTCTTGTCGGTGATTAAACACCAGCTGGCTGGATGCTTTCACTTTAAGGGCAGTTCTAGCCTAAGGGCAGGAGCTAATTCCCTCAAATCTAACTCTGTAAAGAAAGAACGTTAAAGAGGAACAGCAGGGTGCGTCTTTCTGCTTCATTTCGTCCTGCTGCACATCAGGGAAGGAATTTTTCCCCGTCACGTGGTCTATTCCAGAGAGCTGTCCGCCTCGGGAGAACGTATTGGTGACTTAGTAACACCTAGAAGTATTTTACCTGAACCTGAGCATCCCAGAGCCAGTGGATGCCTTGTGGTCACAGAATTCGAAGTTGCCTCTCAGATCTGCAGGTGCCATACGGCTGTCAGGAAGCGAATACCAGAGGTGCTGCTTCGAGGCTCACACTGTCCTGACGAGCACAGCGTCAAAGCTGAAGCAGAATTAGTTGTAAATCAGTCTTAAAATCAGCAGCACAAGCGTAGCAGAAATACAGACTTGGTAGCAGCTCCCGTGGAAACATCCAGGTTTTTAGACGTGATGCACTTGATGTGAATCAGCAGTCTCGGGGAGTTCCTCCCAAACCTCGGTCGACCTTAGGCTGCATCGCAGGACCTGTGGGATCTGGGGAACGGGGGTGTTGTCTGTCTTCTCCGTGCTCGTTGGTTCTGGCCTTCAGCCTAACCCTTCCAGTTGCTTCCAGCGGTCCCACACTTCTGGAAGCACAGGCTTTGTCCTCCCTTGAACATTTTCATACGCAGCTCCTTTTCTAGTCGTGGTAAAATACATATTACGTACAGCGTGCCAGCCTAACCGTGTTTCAGTGACCGTTCAGGGGTGTCAAGTGCATCGTCGTTGCTCTGCTTCCCTCACCACCGCCATCCCCAGAACGCCGTTCATCCTGCGCACCTGGCGCCCTGTCCCCCTTAGACACGAGCGCCTCATTTCCCCTCCCCCAGCCCGTTAGCCAGCACTCTGCTCTGTTTCCCTGAATTGCACTGTTCTAGGGACCTCATGTAAGTGGAACTATACAGTATTTATCCCTTTGTGGCTGGTTTGTTTCATTTAGCATAATGTTTTTAAGGTTCCTCCAGGTGTAGCCTGTGTCAGGATTTCTTTCTAAGGCTGAGTGGTTGTCTTTGTGTGGACGGACCACATTCTGTTCAGCCTTGCGTCCGTCGGTGAACACGTGGGTTGCTTCCACCTTTCAGCTGCCGTTGCTACCAGACTCCGGTTCAGCTGCTCCTGCTCAGAAAGCCGATACTTAAGAGACAGGTGCTGGCAGGAGCAGAAAGTTTGCTTTATGCAAGCGGCCGGCGCCCTGGGGAGAAGGTGGACTCGTGTCCCGGAACCAGTTCTGAAGATTCCGCTCAACCAGGAAGGTTTTTCAAGGGAAAAGGGAAGCGATCTCATGGATCGTCAAGGCCAGGGTTGTCGCTGCCCCTGCTGCGCGCAGCTGTGTGCACTCCTCGTGGTCTCTCCTCAGGTGCTGTCTTGTTCCCAGTCTGCCCGCGAGACTCCTGCGCGGGGGGCTACCGACTGTTATGAGAAACAGTGTTGGTCCCGTTCTCTTGAGGCCAGTCCTTAGAATCGTGCTAGCCCGAGACTCAGTACTGCTCAGGAAGGGGCGGCTTGCGTCACGGCTGCAGTCTGGTCATCATGTGGCATAAACTCCTGTGCGGTTGAAAGGGGTGTGACGAGTGACAAAGACGCTTCTCTCACTCCTCCCCTCGGGAAGTTCCAGGGGTTTAGAAGCCCTGCGCCAGGAACCAGGGATGAAGACCGCATGTATAGTTCTTCCTGGATCCCAGGAAGAAATATACGCCCTGTCTCCCCTCGCAGGGTCTGCCTCATCCGTCCCCTTTGTTCTCGGTCCTCAGTTTCCAGCCCCCTCTCTTCCTGCCTTGTCCCCCCTCCTCACCAGCACGCCTCTGCCCTCAGCGCACTGCATGCAGCAGGGCTGCCAAGCCCAGGGCGTTGCAGGCTACGGGGCCTCTTGTTCCTTGTGGGATGACAGTGACGTCGGTGATCCAGAAAGCACCCTGAGAAGAGGCTTCCACATCATGTAAAGTTGGGAACCCCTTCCTCTTAGGAATGTTGTAAGAATATGGTTTTAGACCAGAAAAAGAAGCTGCAGTCTGTCCTAATATTTGAAGGATACCATGAAGAGGAAGAAAATATATCTGCCGTGTCATTCCAGAAAACAGTATTACTGGGAACAGTGGATGGGAATCAAATAAAGCTGATTTCAGCTCAGTAGATTCTTCTCAAAAATGCTTGGAAAGGAGATGCCTCTGGAAGTAGTATGTTTTTATTTAATGCTTAATGTTGCAAAATCACATTGCAGAATGCACGTCTAGGAGACCAGCACCCAACTTAGAA